CAGCTAATCCATGTGAATGGTCACAGAACAAATATCTGAATATCAATTCACATACCATACTTTGATTGCATTCATTTTGTATCCGATAGAATGGATGAACGAATTCAATCTAAGCAATTACTTCGATCCACAAGTGGGTCCGTTGATACAGCTTGGTCTTGGTGCAAATTCATAAAGATTATCAGTGTATTTATTGCTTAAACCATCAACGTTACGCTTCGGTTCAAACGGTCGCATTAATGCAGATCCAAAGTGTAGAGCACTACTGCAAAGCTGATTATCTGCAGGGTACATCCTTTCTCGTTCATAACGCGACTGAAACGGTATCATGGTTATCATGGTTATTCATGGTTATTTTTATCATGGTTATGGTTATTTTTATCATGGTTACCGTTATTTTTATCATGGTTACGGTTATTTTTATCAACATCGTGAAAGTTTAGACGATTCTCTTTTCGATATGAAAATAATCAAATAGAACAGCTGCCGTACCTGTTTACGTTGCCGATAAATTTCCCAAATGAAGTCTACAAACGAATGCAATAGGTAGAAAACAGGATCATTTCCGGACGTATAAGGCTCGAACATATCACCACCAACATAGATGTGCACATTTCCATGCGTATACTCTAACGCATCGTATTCAGCCTTGAACTGGCATCCCTTAAAAATTATTCATTCTCAAAACATCCACGAAGCACTTAGAATCTATATCGATTCTTATCTTATTCAAATGACTTCAGTGGCTGTTTCAAAACCAAAACTAAATCCAGATGGAGCTGTTCAGACTCAAAAAACACTGAAAACATCGAGAAATTTCAACAATTGCTGAAGCGGTTTGATCTACGCAATGAACAATGACGCAAATGACTCGACCTCATGTGGTGCTGTGTGAGCGAGTACCTTCTCAATGCGATGCTGTGCTAAAACATATTCAATGTCACTGTCTCGGAATGGCAATCCCTGCGCTCCGACTTTTCGTGTTATATGCGGATGATTCTGAAATTAATCCGGCAATCATGAATTTTTAATCGCTCGACAACTCCACTTTTATGGCCTCACAAATAGAAGAAATTCATAGTCAGATAAAGTCGCTTGTTCGCACTGTAAATCGATCAAGCTGATTTGTTTTTACATTAAATTTCAGCTGCATTCATGAGAATGCTTCCACTTGATATAGGTTGGTTATTGTGAAAAAAACAGACTGTTTGAGGCGTGGAACACCAGACTTATTATCTTATTTAATTTCGAACTAATTTCAAAATTAAATAAGACAACTTTGGTGAGCAATTAATGAGGTCAGTGATAGACGTGATGATAGTGCTCGTGATGAGGAAATTGAATCAGATAATAGTGATGATAAGAATGAAAGTTCAACACACTTGAAAAGTAACAAAATCGGCGAAATCCCCCGTTACGACATGTCCATCTTGATCTGTTGTTCCCAACAAACCCTCCGTCCATAAAACAGCATCTTTTGGTTCAGGCAAATGTGAGTCCAGCGTGGAGTCCCAATACGGTAGCGATAGATCTGGATCGATTTGTCGCAGGGCGATTTCCATTCTGTTAATATAATTCATAAAAATTATCATCTTCAACTAATGCAAAGTATAACTGATGGTTCAACGTGAAGAATAATGACTGAGCGACCACCTTTTCATGAATTCCCGATGCCATGGTAGGAACGCAGGTCCAGAATGTGCACCACCACTGATCGAAAACTGCGCATGAATTATAGCCATCTTATCGAATTCACCATTTCGTTTGAGGTGTATGATGGCTGCGTGAAAACGTTCACGTTCTTTATCGCTCATCATACGATACTCTTTACGAATCGCCTTCTTAAGTGGACGTCCATTCGGTAGAATACATACTCCATTTTTTTGAATTTTTCCTGAAGCAATGCTGCTGATTAACTCACTCTAAACAGAAACTTATTTTTCACTTCGGTTGCGACTGCTCCTAGAATAGAGCAGTGGCCAATTGTTCATGCCTTAGAGTTTAAAGCTGTTTGAAAGGTCAGCAGAACAGCAGGATTATCGCTACCAAATGCTACTGACGATCAGCAATAGAGCGATTGATAAGTGTTTATTCCCTTGTTTTATATTCTGATTCGTA